AGTATTCTGCTTGGCTCAGGATACATATTTTCCTAAAAACACAGCTACTGACATTTAAAAAGTAGATTTCACATAAAATTTGTCTAAATTTTTCTTGAAAACTGAAAATCTGGGAACGCGGGTCAACACTCCTCCTGGCAATACTGCTAGAGGTGAGCCAAGTCCACCTTCGCAGACAAAGCTGGGAGAGATGAGCTCTTTCTTGGCTGTCTCCACCAGCGAGCTCTGTCTGGGGGCCTCACCTGACCCATCCACCTTCCCTGAACTGGGCGACCACAAGTCTCGGGCAAGAACAAAGTGTGTTTCCCCTTTCTCTGAAAAGAGGTCTCTATGGAAAGACACAAGGGAAAAAAATCAGATTAAGTGTCATTACTACACCTTATCTACACAATGTTGCCTCTGGCTGCAGAGCGAACTTGTTCCCTTCCGAAAGCCCCTCAAAGAGTCTCCACTCCCCTATTTTCAAAATGTGTGAAAGAATGAGGAAAAAGAAAAAAAATATAAAGGATTTGTTCAATTTCAGTTAACCAGAATGGCAAACGAAGATCGTGCAAGGAAAGTGAATACTAATTATTTTAAAATTTTTTCAATACACAGCTCCTGCTGCATTCAATTATGTATATGCTTTATGTCCTGTCCTTGGTGATTTTGCTTCTGGTTAAACACTTAAGTGAGTGTTCCAGTATTTTTTCCCTATTTGGATTTCACCTGCCTTGTCTCTTTCAAAACCTTCATTCAGGATGATGCGTTCTGATTAATTCCACTTTAAGCCAAGAAAGTATTTAATCTATTAATTTATACTATTGAGATGACTTATCAGTCTTTGTATCATATTGATGTGGGTATACTAACTGAATCAAAGTAAGTTTCTAAGCAGGAGTTTTTACATATTGTACCACAGTCACCACCTACTACTCAACACTCAATATTTGATACTCAATAAATATTCTTGTAATAAACACAATTTTATTGTTAATCTTCCTAAAGAAAAGAATATAACTGTTTTACACAAATCTATCAATAGGAGATTGGTTAAGGAAAAAAGAAAAGCCAAAAGTTGAGAGAATCCAGGAGTTACCACTCTTAATAATATTGTTAAAATAATAATTTGATCTCACCATTTTAATCCATCGAAACCTGTCTAAATACTACAATTGTTTGTATTTCCTATTGCAACATGAAGGAAAGTGAATCCGTATAAACCATACCAAAGCCATTGCGTATAACTGGTGGTAAAACTTTATTATTCAAGTTTAGATGTAACAGACATCTTTGCTGCCTGAAGATTGTTTGCATAAGAAATACACCAAGAACATGTTTGTGAGTAGAAATGAACATGCACTATGAAAACAAAATAAAATAAAATAAAATGAAAAAATTCCATGTGTTGTAAGAACAGAACTATTATAGCCAACATTCTATTGTTCAAATCGGGACTACAAATTGAATTCTTTTTCTTAGCAACATGAAATCATTCCATATGAAAGACATTTTCCGCTGGTGAATATTGCTGTAAATTAATTTTACATTGGCATTTTGAGATGTTTTTCACCTATCCCTCCCCTCAGATTATCAATGTTGTCATCAGATAGTACACCCTAAGGTATCTGGAGTTTGTTATTGTGATATTTGCCTTGTTGGTAGCCATTAATAAATTATGGTTTTATCAGCCTTCTAGCAGTTTTGCTTATTCATAGTCAACACGATCGGCTGTCTAGTTATGATATTTACAGCTCATCTTTAACAAAAATGACTCCAACCTTTCTTGGCCCTTGGGAACTGAATTTAAATAACCCTCTGGCCACATAATACTTGATGCTCCTATGGTCCCTTTCAGCCAAGGATCTCAAAGTGCTTTACAAATAAGTACTACATTACCATTATTATTATTATTAATATTATTATTATTAATATATTTTCCACTTTAGAGTTGAGGAACCTGAGGCACAAAATGAAAAAGTGAGTTGCTGCAGTCCAGGTATTGAAGAAATAACCAGGGGTAAAGCCAGGATTCAGGTTGGGGACTGAGGGACCCTTCAGAACCCTTTTCTCTAATGAAAGTGAAGCACTGTGTCCACGGTAGTTACTCTTGCTTTTTGGGGGGGTGCAGGACAGAGTAAGCTTAGAACTCTCCCTTTCTTTTCAAGGGAACAAGCTGGGAACATCGATTACCCAGTTCCCACATGTGGATTACCGTTTCATTTGACACTGTCTTCATCCCTGACTTGAAACACTTCTGCCCCATGTCTTCCAAAGCTCTCATTACTGCAGATAACTGGAAACGCTGTCTGAACAACTGCCCCGATACTGAAGCAGGTGAAGTCACTGTCCTGGAGATGGACAGCCAACGGGAAGGGCAATGCCAAAATGCCATGCCTCTGTCCTCTGCCAAGTCTTTCTTTGGGAAAAATAACACTGTCCTGCAAGACGAGACGCCGTCTTTCTGTCCTCTTCTCAGTTACGATCGGCTGTCTGCTAAGAGCATCCGCCTAACCGCACCAACCTTTGGTGAGTACACTGAGTTTCATATTCAGGTTGCATTTCAATTCCTCAAGTTTTCGCCTTTGTCTTGCTTACCAAAGATGCCCTGAATTGTTGTTTTTTTAGGGCTTCTTTTCCCCTATGACCTCTAACCCAAAGACAGGTAGCTGTGAACACATCTCAGCTTCAGCCAAGACTCCCATCCAGCCCCAAAGCAGCATGACCACCAGCTTCTTTACCTTGCATTCCCAACGCTGGACAGCAGATCTCCCCTTATAGTGAGGTGTTCATTTTCATTGGCTAAATAGGCAGGCAGTTGGCAGTTCCAAGACAGGCCACTCTGTGGTGTTTCGCAATCACACAGCAGGAGGCTAATAGTTATTTTCATAGCAGTATTGATATTCTTTGATTTATTAAGAGAACCGTATTTCCTCAGGCATTTTAAAATATATATATACATTGAGTAATTTTGGAGCTGTATTTGCATTGGATCATTATAGATTTACGTGCACATGTGCAATCAAACAAAATGTGCTACCACAGGCTTCAACAAAGACCTCTGTAAAGATAGTCGCTTTTTCTCTTCTCATTCATATTACCTTAGAAAAGAATCCCCACGCTTGTTTTCTAACATCTATCTCTACTAAAACAGAACAGCTTAGAACAGAACATCACTACCTCAACTGTGGCTTTTGAAAAGAACATCTCGGTCTGTCATGTGGAGAGAACTGGGCTCACTCTTTGCCTTTTGGACTGCGAAGAGCTCCACCCTTCCCTCATCTACTTAGCATCCTGTAGTGTCTTCTGAGATGGGCTGGCTCGTCACGATTTTTCTATCCCACACAACTGCATGGAGAGGGCAGTGAGCAATGAGGAGAAAAGAGCAAGAAAAAGAAGAGAAGAATGCATGAACTAGTCCTGGCCTTACATGTGAGCCAAAGCTCAATTTGGACTACAGACAAGTAATTTAAAAAGACCTACAGGTTTCACGTGGTATACAATCGTAGCTGGCTTATAGTATTCACCAGCGGACAAGGGAAGCCTTTTCCAAGAGGGGACAATTTCTGCATCATCTTGAAAGTTCTTCAGAAAAAAGGTTAAGTACCTAAATAGCTCGTTGAAAATCATTCACAATTTAAGACAAAATGATTCTGAAATCTTAAAAAAATAGAACACGTTCTTATAATATATCTTGCAAGATGGAACAAAGGCTTTAACGTCATCCAAAAATAAGGAGTATTTTAGTGTTATGACAAACTTCAATCCTTTTTAAGAAGTCCAACTTCTTTCCCACCAGAATATGTATAATAACGAAAGCAAACATGAAAATAAAATAATTAATAATAAAGGAGTATGGAATAAGATCTATCATGCCAATGCTATCAAAGAGTATTCTACTGAAAGTAGACTGAACATAAATATTCCCCAAAAAAGTGATATGTATTTTCCAATGCTCGTCATTACTACTATGCCTGTTTGAGAAAGAAAAAAAAAGAATGAAAATCAAAGGCATACACGCCAACAATGAACAACCTATTTATGTCCGACACACTCGATCAATTGCTGAAGGAGTAGTTTTGCCCAAAAAGTGATACCTGTAACGTTGCCCAAATTAAACAAACTTGTGGTGTCACCGGCCGCTCAGTCTCATGCGCTCAGGTCCGTCCGCTCTCCACTGCTTTGAGCATTCTGCGTATCACGTTGCTTGAGAATTGCTACACCACATTTTTATATTCTTTTAAAATAAGAAAACGATTGTTGGTGTTTGGGAAATCTCTCTGAAAAAGATCTCTGTCTGTCACCTTTCAGATCTGTTCACTTGGAGACGTACATATCAAAATGCCTAAGAAAGACCCGATCTATCAGAGCGCTTGGATGTCGGCACCCCTCCTTCTGCCTCTTTGTTTCGGATTATGTGACTATTAGAGCTACGGGACAGGTGGATCAGCATAGGCCCTTTACCAGTGACACTGAAGCAGAGGACTTCGTCCTGATTTCTTTCTCTCACTCTTTTTTTTTTTTCCTTTTCCTTTTTTTCTTTGTTCATGAAAAATGAAAATGCAAGAGTGGACATGACAACACAACATCAAAAGGTATTTTTTGACTCCATTCACTACAACAGAAATTGACTGAACTCTACTTGCCATCCAACTTTAAAGATACGGAGGCCGCGGGCACTGTGAGAAAGAAACAAAACCCAGACGAAACAAAACGATACAAAGCAACTGCGAATTCATGTAAAAACGGGTGCGAATGCGAGTACAGAATGCAGTAAAAACATCAGTGCTGCGAATTCCAGCAACACTCATCAAAAGAGTTTCTGAAATGTTTCCTCTGAAACATAGACAAAGCGATAAAAGAGGATATATGTGTATCATTTTAAGCATAACAACGTGAGTTAAGAGCTCAAAAATTAAAAAAAAAAAAGTACTTGGAATGAATAGTGCTACCCTTTTTTTCCTAAGTAGGCATAAAAATATTTTCATTTCCTTCTTGTTTTCCATACCAGTATATCAAGAACTTTCATTTGTTTCATGTTACCGTTTACAACTTTAATGCACACACACACACACACAAAAAGGTATCTACTGCAATAGAAATAGTTGCTTCATTACCTTGTTTGCTACATTTGCAAATGTAAACAGCTAGGCAGAGCCAGAACTGACTCTAATGCATGATGGAATATCTTTGTTGCATACGTACACTGTAGAAAATATTTATTCAATATGTCAGGCACCATTATTTGAAATGTAATACATTAATATTTACTAGAAAAATAAGTTTTTTTTTCCTATTTGTTCTCCCAACTTCTTTAATGAAATAAGTTAATCTGACAGTGCATCCAGTAGCTTGTAATATCTTCTACATCTCCGTGGCAAAAAATAAACTACTGGTTGGGACAATATAATGCAAATTATTAAAGTCAGTCCTTGTACATACATCCTTGTAGCAAGCATTGAGGCTCGACTAACAGCACCTTTAACCAATTATTTAATGTTCAGTTATTTAGCCCTATTTCCCTGAGCAGTTATGCTGAGGAGCTTTCCCTTCATGGATAGTTTTTACAAAGCCTTAAGTATTAAAAGTACTATGAAGACATACTTCTAAGAATCCTATTTAATGCTACTTAACTAAACCTGCATAATCTAATGAAGGGAGTGATTGGTACTTATCCTAACTGTCAGTCTGTGGTAACGTAACCTTAGACACTGCCTGACCACAAAGTTTGGAAATTACATTTAACCAAAAGGAAATAAATAAATACAGCAGGTTACCTTATGGAGAAATTCATGTTTTCTAAGCAAATTAAATGCATGGTGTGACGTTTGCATCCACCTATTCAACTGAGGGGATTCCTCTCATCATAATGTGCCAAGTGAGATTATTGACCAACAGGAGGAAAAAAAATCCAACCTTGTTCATCCTAAATGAGAAAGACATTATTTGGCTAAAGTAAAGTTACTATGTAAGCATCGAGGACATTGTTTTTTTAAAAAAATAGGACTACATTCGGACAAAATGAACCTAAACTGCAAACAAAGGACTACTGACTATTTGAACAACTAAAGGACAAAAATATCAGAGGGTGCACATGTGCATGCACAGGCAGGGCTGGCCACACCATCGTGCCACCCATCTGTCAGGTTTCTTGCTGCTCTCTCACCAGGCCTAACCAGACTTTCTCACGTCTAGGTCCAAGTCTGAGAATGATTTGCGAGGGAGCCGTTTCCCTTCCCTCACCCTGAAGATTCGATTTCAGGATACCTCTAAGTCGAGGACACAATGGATGGGTTTTTGAACAAATGGGCCAATGGCCAACCCAATACTGCTTCTGCACTGTAATATGTAAACCCTTTCAAGTTCTAGACAGCTTCTATCCTTTTACCTTTCAGATAATCTGGTGGGACTCTATGGTTCATTTCCCCAGTACACATCTGTCAAGATGGCTCTGACTTGCTAAGTTTTAAAAACGACTGTTTACCACCTTCCTTTCTTTCTCACTGACCACCTGTCTTATTTTTAAATCTTGGTAACCTACTCAACAAAAGAAAGAAGAATAAAAGAAGGGAATTTCATGTTGGATAAGGCAGGCTCTATGAAGTATTTTTTAATAGGTCTTCATAAGACATTACAAGCTATTGAATTCCCATCAAGAAAACCTATTTCTATTTAATTGTGCTAAGTGCTAAGGTTTTACTCTTTAGGTTTTCCATTTTTTTCCGCTTGTGCATTGTTCCTATGCAGGCCCCTCTGGATGTGCGTTGTGAAGTCGTATTTGTCCGTGCAAAGATGCTGGCATATGCTGCACTGGAAAGGTCCGCTGTCACCATGGCAACTCATATGCAACGCGTACATCACTTCATCCAGAAAGACAATGCCGCAGTGCACACACTTTGTCGAAAGCTCATCTTGAGTACTTCTGTCAACTTTCTCTGTTTTTGCTACATTCAAAGGACCTTCATTTTTTACAATGGGCGGTGCCTTTGTTTTCTCCTTGGAGGCACCATTTGCGGTTGGCCCAGGTCTGGAATGCTTGATCGCCAAATCTAGAGGAATGTCATTGTCTGATCCGACAGCTGAAAAATGAGGAGGCAGATTGAAGGTGGGATAAGGCACATAGTTTTGGCAAGGATTTGGTAGGCCAGGCACATGACTCAAGTAGTGCGGATTCCCAGGAACAGAGAGCTTATATTTACTCCAGAACCGCAGCCAATCAGCTTCACTCTGGAAGTCGTTATGTACAAAGGGAAGTCCAAAAAGTGGGTACTGGTACTTTTCAATAGGGCTGCCTGGTGGTGAGTAATTTGGGTGTTTTGCAGGTCTCATATACTTTTCTATGGGACTGCCTCTCTCAGAACTTCCTTTCCCTTCAGATACAGAGGAACTGTTTCCTGGATCTCCAGTACTTTCCTGAGGACTTTTAATCTGAATGTGCAAAGGTTGCATCCTTTTGTGAATATCCAGAGTTTGGCTGACCAGGACTGGCTGCTGAGCAGAATGGCTTTTAGTCAATGAACCCTGGGCTTCATATTTACTTAGGCTTGGGAGTGGAACTTCTCTCTGATGGCTCTCAGTTAAATGCTCTTCTGACCTCCTCTCTAATGGGCTTCCATTGACCTGCTCCTCACTGTTACCCCTCTGCTGTTTGTTGAGCTGCTCAGCCTGAAGTGCCTCCGGGTTAAGGCGCTTTCTTGTTCTTCTCCTAATAATCTGCTCACCGTTGTTTTGTTTAATGATGTTTAAAGGCCTGGGAGTCTGCAGAGAACACACACAATACATGAAAGGAAAACATTAAAAAATACATTAAAATGCATTAAAAATTCCTCACAAATATAAACCATGCTGCAGTTCAAAGCAAGGATAGGGTTTATGCTGCAGATTTACTAAATCGCCTCCTTTTGCCCTAAGCAGCAGCAGAGGAAGTAACCAAAGCGCACTGTTTTCGCCTAATTAAATCATGCCCATCTTTGCAGGAGGGACAGCAAACTTTAATGTACTTGAAAGCAGCTTTTCCAAACTCATCAGATTGTGTGGTTGCACCATAGAAAGTCACTCGCAAGACCATGGTTTTACTAAAATGTTTTTGAATTTTGACTTATGCACTGAACTGACCACAAATCAACAGGGAGACAGGTACACATTCCAACGGAGGAAAATGTGCCCCCTTCCATTCCCATGTGGGAACTCTAACATGCAAGTGGCCGTATCTACAAACAGGATCTTTAGGAGGAAATTAGGTGACCTAAGGTCAGGGAGGTGAGCCCAGTCCAGCAGGACTGTGACCTTGTAAGACCGAAAGAGAGAGGTCCTTCTCTTCACCCACCAAGATGGCAACCAACTAAGCCAGTAAGTAGCCTTCCCAGAATCCATCTCTCTGGTGCCTGGGGCTTCTGGCTTCCAGAACCATGAGAAGGTACTTTTCTGTTGTTTGGAGAAACTCAGTCTACGGTTTTGTTACAGCACTTTAAACTGACTAATGCATGCATCTCTACAAGGGACTGCAAATGTGAACATAAAATATTCATATCACAGCCCAAATAAAAGACAAACCTACAGAACTGTAAGGAAACATGTCAGATAATCAAAGCCATATCAGAGGATTCTTTCCTCTTTTCTTCTCTTCTTTTAATGACATTTACATACTCACTAGGGAAAATTTTACTTGTTAACAGGTGAAGCATTAGTTTTGTGTTGAAAATCTAAATTCATCTGTAGCTTGGGATCAAATACCCAACCTGTCATTCTACCCTACTTAAAATAAATGCTCACTTTAATTTAGCTTAAGTATTTTATTTAGCTTACACGTGACATGATTGGTATTTACGTACATGTTCAACAGGTGTTTATATTACATGACTAAAATCCATGGGTAAGACTATAATAAAAACTTTACTTGTAGGGAGAGCTTTCACTGTGATTCATAAAATCAAAAATAATTTTAATACATTAAAGAATATTTAAACATGAAAAGTTTAGGAGAATCTTCAAGTGGGCTAAAGCCTTATTTCTCTAAAAGATTACTGAAATCAAGAAACAATTTCTAGAAAATGAACATAGATAATAGGCAGTTGTGAATTATTCTGAAGGATACACTTTATAAAGAAATATTTTATATATTCAAATGAAGATGTAAATCTCTTGGAATCCTTCTGTTGTGACGAGGTATTGTGAAGAAACAAAAGATAACATGCTGGTTTTACAATGAAATTACTAGTTTCAGAATGAAATGACGCATAGCTTGGGTATGCCGTGTGTATTCATTTTTTTCAGAATGCTTTGATTTATAAAGAGGCTGCAGTAGGATTATAAGAGCATGTAGTATTTAATTTCCAATACAATTTCCATTTGATGCACTGAAATGTGCATTAATTCCTTTTGTAAACTTTCATAACTTTTGCTGCAATTCTGTGTGAGCCTAGCCTTTATGTATTTCAGCTTGTGGTTTGAAAAAACTTAAAACTGAAAACATCTTGCCTCTGGAGAGATGAACGTTGAAATAAGTTTTAGAAAACAGTTTATATCACAGTGGTTAAATTATCATAACTTGGCAGAGCAGGAATTTAATTAATTCTTGGCCCACGATTGGCTGGAGTTCAATTAAAATCATTAATCTCAGTACTCATTAAATGGAAGTTTATTGCTGGAAAAGGGCACAGAAAGTGGTACTGTATGTGGTGGTGGTGATGGTGGTGGTGGTAAGGATCTTGCTACTAGCTCCATTCTAATAACTAAGTTTTTTAGTGTTTCCTCCCAATTAGTATTGCTGGCAGCAGGCATTTCTTAAAGAGTGCTTCCAACGGTCCATCTAGGAAGGCGTTCTGTCCAAAGTTGTCTTCCCCGTGGCTGTAATCTGCTCACCAGCTCATGCTCAGAGCTATGGTAAAATGCCAAACAAAACGAAAAAGGCACAGGCAAATAGATTTCTGTTGACTAAATAGGGCATTCCTATTTGAAAGTCAGTCCATATCAGCAGATAAATTTTCTAAACTATAAAGAATCCTTCTGAAAGTCAGATGCAGATGCAGATGGGGGATATGTCAGTTCAAATTTTATTACAGAATTCTAACTAAAGTTTGGGAAGCTAGTAATTTAGTGGATTCCCAGGAGCCAAGCCAGCTGGTGCTGAAAAATACAACACACCTTGCACTTTCGCTACCCTGGTGTTTGTGCGTGGAGGACTCACTCCCCACCAACCCACCCGCTTGGACACTGCTCCTGGAGACTTCTGCCCCAAGTCCCGTACTGTGCTGCAGAGAGGGCTTGACTTCCAGCTGCCAAGTAGCCTGGAGGACACCTGCAGATCTGAAGGCAAACTAGAAGATAAATATTTACCCCCTATCTTACATTTTATACCAACCCTGAAGGGACCTTGTAAATGTTTATTTTTTTAACTTTTGGTATATTTGTGAAACTTTCGAGCAGCGCGCCCCGCCCCCACACATGGCTAACCATCAGGCCAGCTATCTCCTAGGTGATGTTCCCCCGATCAATCATTCTCCTCTTTTATATCAAAAGAGGCAGCATAATGCATTACTAATGATCTCAAACGTATCTCCCCATAACGTCTAAGGCCCTCTGACCATAAATCACACGGACATTCAGAGAGACTGTATTGAACCACCCTGCGGGACCAGGCAACCCGAGCCAGGACGGGGACTGAGCGCGCCGCGGGGCCGGCTAGATCTGATTTCTAAAGCTTCCTGCAACAGTGGGGCAGATTCTTACCGAGTGAAGCTTCTGGTAGAGGCCACACGCGTTGCATACATAGCCGCCATTTGCATTCTTTCGCCAGAGAGAGGTCTTCGTGGTCAGGCAATTGGCACAGAACACACCCGAGCCTCTGCGCCTCTGAAACGGGGGTGAAAAAACAAGGTCAGAGGTGAGTCACGTGGCCGGCCGAGTTAGACCCAATCAACCCAGGAGTTTTGTCTCCAGACTTGCAGCAATGACAGTATAAAACCACGCTGCCCATAACGAGGTCAGGTTAAATTGTTTAATAGGCACCGCTGATTCTCATTATAATTAACCCTACAGTGATGAATGAGGTGTGCGGAACACCAAAGGCTTTTTCACAGGAGCAGCTTTAACTTTTTGAACTTTGGGTTTTGTGCCTTTAATGATGGCTCCCAAATGCTGAAGCCCAAGACCATACCTTTTCAAAGTGTCAAAACCTGAGTAAAAAGACAGAACGAGCGGCAAGGTGTTTAACATACGTTGAGACACGCTACCTGCGTTTTAAAATATGGTCAAGCTCGGAACAAAAAAGAAAGTAAAGCAAACCCAACCCGTGTCTTTTTGTGTGTGTCGTTCATGCCACTTAAGTAGTAGGAGACCGTCAGACACTCGATTCTGGTCTTCCCTTTGGAATGGTTAAACTGCCAGAGAAACAAGCTCTGTTTCCCAACGCCAGGCGGCCGGAGGGACTTGTGCCAGGAGTACAGTATTACTAATGACAGCGCATACGGGTGCGTTCTCAGTGAGACAATGCAGTCCCATCAGTGGCTATTTATTTATGTTATTTGACTCAGACTTGGAAATCAGAAGCATTTCCAAATACAGATTGATTTTAGTAGCCGGAATTCTGTAATCATCCGATTCAAAAATAAGAATATTTAAAAGTAGATAATTAGTATCACTGGTTACATTCCTGCTGTCCAGTAATGATTCCAGTAAACTTCGCAGTTAAACAAAAGTCGGGCTGTGTTTGTAGGCACACATGTGAACAGGCAGGAAATAGAATTCTCTCCCTGAAAAAAGAAAAAAAAAGAAAAAGAAAAAAGGCAGCCCAGACTACAGCTCTGCTCTTTTTTTTTTTCTAGGAAGCAAAGTCTTTAATGATAAAATATGCATGTTAGATAAGGAGTGGAAAAAGTCTTTCTGGAACTTAATTTTATTATAAATTAAATATTACAAATGCTATAAGTCAAAATTTCAGGGATACATAAAATTTAGGCAATTTATTTAACTGGAGTCCATACTGTAGAGGAGTGGTATGTATGCCTGCCAAGAAAATACAATGGTTATAATTGTACTCTGATACATTTCAAATGGAAAGCTTTCTGCAGACATAATTTTGGCTTCAAGACTGGAACACTTTCTTGGCATTGAAAGGGCATTTGATTCATCGGGTGTTTCACAATGTATCACTAAAAAGACCTGGTGAGCAGCCAGTTCCCTATAGGGTAATTTTTCCATCCAGATGCAAGTGCTATCAGAGGCCCTCGTCAGCTAAACTAATTATGATCTTGCAATTGCTGATGCCTGCTCACTCTAACATTCGACATCCTCCATTAATCATCAATACAAGGAAAATGAATGAAACGTAAAGAAACGAGGACTGGTAAGCTGCACAGCTATAAAAATCTGAAATGAGAGCAATAACTTAACGAGATTGGGGGAATGTTTTCAGTGAGCGCAAAGCCAGGCTAACAATTGCCCTTTTAAACCAAGAACACGATTTCATTAGCGTAGCAGGTTGTGCCACTTTAGGTGATGTAATAAAAGCTAGATTTTGCCCAAAGATAATCTCAGGCACCCTCTTTCTTCCCTCCTCCCCCAAGTCAGAACTAGGAACACACAGCAAGTTCCTCAGTCCCTACAGCAGCAGGACCAAACGCTTTGTCGGAGGTCCAAAGGGCTACAGTCACCGGGCCTGCTGCTGCCTTTCCCGAAACCAGCAGGCTACTATTCTGTTCTGTTTATCCGGCATTTTGGGGTCCCCTTCATCCAAATTAAGCCAGGGAGCCCAGTGAGATTACAACTGTGAAACCTGGCTGAGCCCATCCTTTCATTTTACTAAATCTGAGTAACATGCTGGGCAAAGCAATGCCAACACCATCCACACAGAGACTGTAAATGTCCACTGGGAAACTGACCCACATGTATGGCGGAGGCTCAATTTGAATGGGGAACATTCATTCCAGCCTGCTTTTCTTTCCTTATACCCTGGGTGCTTGACACAGCATGCCAAAGTGGGTGTAATCCTGATTTCAGCGAGCATTTCAACCCTTGCACAATTGCGTGCTTAATTCTGTTGCAAAGATAATGCCCTTCATTAGTTAGAGGGAAAATCCTGAAATTACAGCACTAGTTTCCACAGGCATGACTTGCTTTCTGTAGTTCATGTCCTCCGATAAAAGCTGCTGTATTTTAGGGAAACCCTGCCTTATTTTAAATACAGTACATGAGGAATACTGAATTCACTTAGAGTCAGAATAAGTTGGAAGTTAACAAACTGATACAGAAATCTGATCACTTTTATCCAGAAACCTGTCTCTGCCATTTGCTAGGTGCAATACTGGGCAAATTACTTAACTCTCAAGTCTGAAATATTCTCCACCTTTAAAGCATGAGCTGTCAATTATTATGTGGATTAATAGATGCAATTAAACAGCACCAGACATGAAGTAAATGCTCAGGGGATTCAGGTATGATTTCTTTTATATGAGAAACATATTTTGTTAGTTTTTCATCTCAAGTCTCATCATTAAACTTGTAAGATTTGTTTCAGCCGTATTGGTGGATATTGTCAAATCTTCTCAAACACGAGAATGGAAAGTTGAGTCAGAGTGAAATATCAAGGTGTTCACACCTCAAATTCAATACAATACTGCGGCACAGGGGTGGGGCGTAGGAGGTAGGTGAGAAATATTTTACACGTAAGCTGTTACTTGCCACTTCAACAAATTTAGCACTTTGGGAAGATTACTCGAACTGTATCTTTGGTGCAGTGGAATTTTTGAAAAAAAAAAAATCTGACCACACAACCATCTCTTTCTAAACTACAGCACAGGTAGGGAGACCCGTGATCTGGTCACACTGTGAGCTGGGCCATGGGGATGGATGCAGAAGACACTGCTTTTGAAAGTGTCCACAGCCCAAGCCTCATCCAGACCAGAGAGGCACAGATTCGGCTGTGAGAGAACAGTCTTCGAGGGCTGCCAAGAGGGTGCACCCCCTCTTTGTATTTTATAAAAAAACAAGCTCTCGTTAACTTAAAGAAAAGGAAAAGCACTAAAGACCTTATTTTATTCACAGTTTATGTTGCATGGTGAAGTCTTAACTGTTTTATTGTTCTTCTCCTTTATGCTAAGCTTGTTAAAGACAGAAACCGTGTTTCCTAACAGGCGTGAATATTCTATTAAAAAGCACTGAGGATGTGCTCTGTCCCAGATGCCGAAATGCTCACCAAGTTTAAAAATAATGGTACCTGCCATCATTTTTGTCCTTAGTGCTCACTTTTTTTTGGGAAAAAAAAGGTTTTATTATGTTTCTTTTTTAAAAATCCCTTTCAAATGTATTCCATTGAGGTTGACAAGTTTATCTAGAATTGGGCAGAGATAGTCAACAAGGTAAAAAAAATAAAATCAAGAAAAAGTGTCTAATCCTACTTTCCAGGCCTATTTCTGAGAAACAGCTGTGACTAGGTTCTCACCAGGTCAGGTAGGAAGACAAAACTCCTCTGCCACTGGTTATTTCCAACATTCTATTCGCCTCAATGGTGGATGGTTCTGTATGTCTGAAAGTTTTCCCTTTTCCTACAAGCTGTTTTTAAGAGAATAACAATAATTTGACATTGGGCCTGGGAGTGGGAGATTAGGAATCCTGGAGGCAACGTCATCGATGGGCAAGAAAATGGTAGGAATAAGTAACTACGGATGACACTGATTGGCATTGCTGGGAGACGTCATTGAAAGTCTTTTTTTGGAGGGTGCTGGGGATTGAACTCGGGACCTTGCGTACTTGTGAGGCAGGCGGCAGAACCACCAAGCTAAATCCCTGGCTCATTTTTAGTCTTATACACCTTGCATTCTCTGCCCTTGAACTTCTCTAAGAATATCTTCTATTTCTATGGGGGTTCAGGCAGTACTAGAACTAAGGAAAGTTACCCCAGAACATAAACCTACCTGAAAGTCAGCTCACCTGCAAATTTCTACAGAAAAAAACAACAACAACTTACCATCAGCAATTCAAGGCAATAGTTATTAAATTTAACTTGTAATGCTAGGAGTTGGACTAGTAATGTTAAGGCTGCATTTGTGTGTTACCGCCATGCTATTTCTGTTCATTGGTGACTTCCTGTGTGTTAAAGGAAGGATAAAAGTGGGAACCATAAATTACAAGAGGTTTTAAGCCAGTGGCTGGTCTAGCAAGTTCTTTTCAATAATTACTGAGATATTTTCACTTTTCCAAGTTTCAAATGTATTGTAACCACAGCGGTTATTTTTTTTTTTAAACAGCATCAACACAGGTATAGCTTGCATAATTGTATGTGCCAGGATTTGAAAAAGAAAATGATAACCTATCTGTTAATATAACTATATTTTAAGTCTAACACAATGCTCCGCCCCCACGCGCCATCAGAGTATACCAAGAAATATAAAATACTTTAAAACAAAACTTTTGTCTTTAGGTTTACTGTGAAACACTATGTATCACTGGAGTTAATTTTTTTTTCAAGCTATCTGTTCGGGGCTAATTCTTGGAACAAACTTTGGTAAATCAAGATATGACTTAAGGGAAGAAAATGAAAAAAATAGTTTTAAATTGACTCAGCTGTTTTTATTGCTTATTTTATTTTATTATTTGAAGATCAGCCAAAAACAAAGACTTCTAAGGTTTTCAAATTTCATTATTAACAAAGAACCAATTTCATCTGATTAATAAAAAGTAAATTTGATTGAATTACTCACTCAAGTGGCTTAGCATTTATAGACATGGATATTTATCTCTCAGATATTAAAAGTCTCCATTGGTGAAGGAATTTGTCTAGAAATGATCTTTTATAATAGTTTTCTATGAATAAGAACCATAGTGAAACCATGTAATTACATAACAAGCCTTGATAG